GTAACATTACAGGCGAATCCGAGAAGGACGAAACTGCTGCATGATGCAGTATGGTGCTGTATCTCACTCTATATTATTAAAAGGTGATATCAAATTGTATGTCTCTTGCATAATCTCTATGTTATAATAATATCAATCGTTTAGAGTCGAGTTTCAGAATCCAATACGTTTTGAAAGGACATATAAAAAATAATTACGATTTCTGTAATTTTTTTTTCATTTCCCGTCGAATAACCATAGTGAACAGATCCCCTTTGAACATATCTTAGCCGATTGCTACCTTAATGAACTTAGCACGGGATGAGTGTTACAACCACTGTCCGTTTTAAATACATATGTGTGTTACCAAATAATACAACTTCCTCAGTACAAGTCCCTGATCTCGGCCACTAAAGAAACGAAATGATCCAGGTAGGGATCGAACGACATGTATCGAATCTTCACCAGAAGTTACATCAACTGATGCAGTATTGACTGTGATATAGAAGCTTTCTTTCATCATATGAAGTATTGCAGCCAAGAAAAAGATTATGAAACCATTGGACATCTTAGCGGGAAACCAATACATCGAATGGAAGAAAAACAATATTAAAAATGCACTAAAATCTGAAATCTAATAAATCGTTATCACTCGTCGTTTACTAGGCGGGTAAGCCGCAGTTATCTCCCGTAGAGTTTAAGTGATCGTCGCTTTAGTGAAGTGCCAAGCGATAACGTCTAAAGCATCAACGTAAAGTAGACCCCTTAAAATAGAGCCTACGAATCCGTAACAAGATCAACCACTGTGTCACGGCACTCTGCAGATCGAACATCAATTTGCCGTAGATAAAGCGTCTGCCAAAGCTTTTTACTAAATCACATTCCTATCATAACAATTAAAGGTTTTGTAGTCCGATTTGAATGCATACAACTTTAACAGATTTATGAGACGAAAGGGAATATTCAAAGGCCAAATGGTATGAAAAGGCTGCCATTAAAGTTATATAGAAAATATTTTACGGGACTGGCACCAGGTTATTCGGGTCATGGTAACCGTTGTACAGTCTCAAGGCTTTTGTTACAATTTAAACACTATGGCCAGTATCGATATTTTCAGCCTCTTAAAGACACTCCACTGTATAAAAAAAACATGCATTTTCATTAGACTAAACTAACCCCGAAGGCCCAATTACTCTTTAGCCAGTTCTATGGAGAGTAAATAAAATAACGTGTATATGCATGAGATGGTTAAGATAGAAGCCAGAGGCAGAATAATGTGAGAAGCAATAGCGAAATGTTATTTTTGAAGTCTTTGTGTTCTGGTCGTAACAGACTTTTCTTCTTACAAAAATCAATGCAGTTAAGCTGTTTGTGATATTTATCTGATGTTTGTTACCGTGGTGTCTGGATTTGTTTTCGTTTTGCTTGGCACATCGCAATCATAAGATCATCAGTATCATTAACCTAACTGAATTGGAAAGTCATCACATCAGGGTTATTCAAGTAGAAGATTTGACCTGGATATAAGATAACGGCTTAATGCATATTACATCAGGCTTATACTAAGTAACCTTCAATTCACACCATCTCGAAAGATTGTTTTCATTGAAATTGAATGCCCGATGCAACACATCTGTAATCTGTCTCTCTCAGCATATGGGTTATCACTATCACAAATTTACGTAAGATAAGCACATTAGCGATATGTTTTAAACAGCTGTTAGGATTGCTATCAATATTGGCGGTCATAAATCTAACAGTTGGATGAAAGCTGGAGTGCTTCGTTCCCTTTGTATGGGGGAACGCTTAGCAGCCATGCTGCACAGACGGTGCTGGTATATCTAAATTGTTTAACCTATAATGACACAGCGCGGACCACACAAAGAATACATTATCCTCATTTTCCTACAAAATACCATTTACATAGTACACATACAGATTCTTAATCATTTTAATTGCTGCAGTATCTCTAGTAAAGAATATGATATTGTAAAACGCTTAAGAATCCCGCAAATCTAACATGTGGATCTGTGTAAAAACAAACTTGGTACCACCTCTTCTCTTAAACTTTAAACCAAAGTTTTTATGAAACAGAGGATGCCACTTAACATCATCACGTGCTGAATCTCTGATAGGTCAATCTCCCACAAACAAAATAAGATATATAGACTAATATATATGCTGTAATGGTAAGTTTTACTTTTGTTTAGATCGGGTTTTGAAGTCCTTGTAACATCAAAGGGAATATAGGAATGCATCGAGGGACATAGTAGAACATAGATTTGAAAAAACCCGTAACGTTTCAACTAGAGAAGCACATCTTGTTAGGATTCCATATGCCCTCTGGCCTCAGACACAAAAGAATACCACAGAGCAGGATCAGCATCATAACACAACAGGTGTAAATTTTCCTGAGGCTGGATATACCACCGCATTCCAACATTCGCTTAACAGCGAGAAACTATTATATATAACATAACGATATTCGGTATTTAGCAGGGTTCGACAGTCGTTTCAATTGGTAAAGATTCTATTTCCTTCTGCAAAACGACGTTTGATGTTCCATATCATGAATTTTTGCTCCATATCGATGAACTAGTTATCGTTTGAGAACGTGGTACCACTTGCTTGGAATGACCGTGTACACATGGTGGCGTCGATGAAGTAGCAGACGCTAACCGTGTCTGCACACTTCGTCATATTTCCTTTGCCAAATTCTAGATTGTATTTTTTTCTTTTTCTTTCCATATCTTACTTTTGTATCATTGAATGTGAGTAAGAATAAAAAAATGTTTGCTGACAAGATATTTTGTATTGTCGTGTAAGTTGTATTAGATAAACAATAACATCATTATCATATCAAGCCAATAAACGTATTCACATCTTCGCGCGATCCCCAAAGAATATTGCAAATTCACCATAAAATGAATCAGCTTTATTCACAGTGGCCACGTACGCGTGTTTCGGTATATAGGGAAGGAGGTTGGTTGGGTAGAGTTGTGTAAAGACACAATAAAGCAATTGTGTAGGTAACCTAAGTAAGATTAATTCAATATGGCTGCCTAATGAAATATTCCCCCGAGAAAAAAAAAACTACTAGGCTTCCGGCACATGCGTGGGCATGTTGTCGTAGTGCTAATTGATATAGTAAATCTTAAACTTTTAAAAAAGAAGAAATCATTATGAAATATAACTAAGATGGTTAAATACTTCATGGGTGATATTGGTACAAAGATCGACGAAAACCTGTGGCAGAACGTCCTTCAAAAATTTCCGTTTCATTTATAACTATCAACTCGTCCATAGCTATTGTAAAAATCATCAATGTCACTTGACATCGTACTTCGTATCAACTTAAATCTATTTGTTGTTTCGTAAATTTCTTAAATTCATGGATTAAATGGATCCAAAGTTCTCATGAATTCAAGGAAATTAACACCCTACGAAAATTATAATTATCATTCTTTTCGTATTTTTTTTCTTTTGCAATGTATTATTTAGCAATTTGTTATTTATGTCTGCAAGCACGTCGATCTGTTCGTCTTTGTTTACAGTTGAATACATTTGGTATCTTCGAATTGTGAGCAATTTACATGTATTATAGTGATATTATGCACGATCATACTTTGTCCTCGATTAATCGATACTGAGTTTAAAATAAGATTTAGGTTAACCTGTAGATATTTTCATGTTGATCTTGTAACAATTGGGTGTGATTTATTTGCAACTCAGAAGTTACGAAATTCATACATGTATTAAATATTTGACAAGTAAATCACTTATTTAATTACCACTCCATTTGAAATAGTTCGAAGAAAAAGTTGTTGCTTGAGAAAAGCAATCATTCAATATTTAAAGATAACATTATGTGCTCTGATTGGATTCAATAGCATTGATATGATGCTTTCGCACTCCGGCTACTTCCACAGTATCTATTTACAAAACAACATATGAAACACTACAAATATAATATTTGAAGGATTCTGCAAAAAGCATTTTGAATCTTCATGTTTTTCGTACAAAGAAAGTGATGTTTAAGATAAATCTGGAACGGATCATTGTCTGACGCAAGTGTCACAATATAACAGATTTTTTCGGACTTACTTCCATGGTTACCGCGCGTTCCTCCTTGGAATTATGTGTTCGGTGCTCGTTAATTTTGCATGATGGTTTCGATGTTGTTAGGCAATAGCACTGTCAAATGATTCTTATTTTAGATGTTTTTATTATTAGTATTGCATATCTATATATACGTTGTATCCCCTGATGAATAATGAATATTTTTTGTGTTCCAATTTTGCCCTTGTTCAATAATTTAGAGTTTTGAATACGGTTCAATAAACTTACACCGCTCGTGTTTATTTATTGATGAAATAGGTGGGAGTGGTGTTTCGGATTTTCCCTCCGTTTGAAATTTTCACGGTAACACTGAAAATTTAACCAGAAGAATATAGATATTCATTTAACGTGGCGCGATTTACATTGGATTTACAAGTTTATGATAAGAGCAAACAAAATCAAGACTATCCGAGTTCTGATATTTGTCAATGGAACGTTTGGAATTCATTTTTTGAAACAATGTAAATAATTTTCGATAAAGCGATCTGGAAAATGAGAGTTTTGCCACACCGTTTTTACCTGTTCTTTTCATATCAACATCTTTGATATATAAGGCATTTTCAACACTTCATGGCATGTTCAAAATCACTTATATCGTTTTAAATCTTTATCGGAGATAATAGATTGATTGATTGATTGACATTAGAGTGTATAAAAGTATAAGTGAAAAATAAACTTTGCATACAATCATATTTCACACTGAATATAATTTGTAGATCATCAAATGAAGTCCATGTAATGTAATTATACTCGTCGTTTGAACATTTCGCTCAATCGTTGTGGAATTGTGTTGAACAAAACACACGAAGTAGATAGTTAATCGGACAGGTTAACAGAGAATTCTCTTTTGGGACAGTAATGTAGCTTTTTGAAGTGTGATTTTGTTTTAAAAAATATCTTACCTCTCGTGAACCAAGGTGGCTTATAGAGCAAGGCAGTGTCGCTGTCTCCCCTACGTACGCCGTCACGTTAAGTGCGGTAGGATTAAAGACAGGTGGAAGAGTCGTCATGTCCACCATCTGTATCACTATTAAACAAAAACGAAAATAATAATTAAAATTATATATATACATAAATAAGACCTGTGGGCAAGTACAATATATGAAATAGTGATGAAACTCTGACGACAACTGTCGAAGAATGAAATGTGACAACATAAGCTGATCCAACAACAGCTAATTTCGTTGTGTTAACCATGACCTCTTTAATACAGTATTTCAGTCTGTATTCTGTAAATTTCTGAGGAGGAATACAGGAACATTTATGTAATAGAATTGTTTGTTTTGGTATCCTTCAAAGAGTCATGATTTCAAAAATGTATCATATCTGCAGCAAAATCAATTCAAAGAAAATGTGGCAAGGGACTGTTATTTTCATGATCAAATTAATTCCAAACTTTCTAGCGTTTTATTCTGAAATTACCAAAGAACAGGACAAAACAGTGAAGTCTTCAACCATACAATCATAGGATGACCATTTATAAGTATTTGGTCATACACGTAGCTTTCTTTTCAGAAAATCTAACTGAAAACATATGCATGCGTACAATTTATCTTTTGAAATCGTATAAGGCTTGAATGAAATTCTGAGATACCGGGAACAACCTATACTGCTGTCTTGCATACAAACGTTTACAATAATCTATTTATCAGTGCGATAATCTTTTTGTGGCTCTTATGGAGAAGACAATAAAGAAAATTAATTCAAAATAATTTTGTCTTTTGTGTTAGTTTTGTCAGTACTTGGCCTCATATGACCTTTCACATGTATATTGCGATACTGTTTAACCAAACAAAACCAAACCAGACATGATCAGGCATGTCACGTGACAAGGTCACGCAATGCACGTCAAATAGAAAATAAACACATAGTAAACGGACGTGTCAGACAAAATATGCAAATGTTGCTACTCAGCTTGTTAATCTTGCAAGGTTTTGTGTTTGAACACGCACGAACCATGTTCATATACAAGAGGAACCTGTTTTTGGAAGTTCATACAGACATCTTGTCTGGTTATTTTTGTGCGAATGCCAAATATCTAGTATCTTTACTATCATGTAATATATATCGCATGACTGACAGAAAGTACTTTAAACTTCAAATAAATTAAAGGCAAAAACCTGTCAGTAGTTTTTTTCCTTTTTTTTTTTTTTTTTTCTTTTTTTTTCAATGATACCGAATATGTATTCAAAATTTTAGCACGATCATCGCCAAAACCCCCATCCCTATGTTTATTATTAGCGTGTCTGACCTTTAAGACGTTATTATAGAGTTGTGGTACCTTGTCGTGATTTTGTATATTTCATGATACATTCTTAACGGGTGTTTATATACAGTCGCCTAGATGTCCAAACTGTTTCGATGTCCGTGGATATCAACATACCGTACACAAAGCCACAAATATCGGTCGGTACGCTGACTGCTTTCTCAACATTTACGCATCGATCTACTTATTTATGTTCTGCCATTTAATTGAACGTGTTGCGAAAATTTAACTGCGATATATCGTAGAAAAGAGAACAATTCATAAATGGGACTGGTTTGCCAGCAACCCACATAGGTCCCTCAAATAAAATGAAATGGTGAAGCCGGGCGGAACAACGGCATGACCTGTTTTTTTTGTTTTGTTTTTTTTTTTCCGCAATCCGAATTTGTTTGAATGAAAGAAGAAGATAAATCTCATGCGTCTTTTTTTTTTTTTTTTCCCAATTTGCGGTATTATACCCTATCGTACTATCAGAAGTATCGGTTATGCCAGCAAAGTCGATTTGTGGCGTAATATATCTTTGCGAAAGGTCCGTGACTGTTTTATTCGCGTGTGCTACACTGTAAAAATCCTTTATTTAAGGACATCATCTGCAAGAGTATACATGCTAGGGATTTCAATTCGCGAATAATGCTATTTTCGAATAAACGCGAAATATAATTCTTCGCGAAAAATAAGTGATTTACACTAAGAAGACAGAATTACATCGAAATTGAAAAACTGTACTAGGAAATTTGGCCGAGCTGAGTGAAGCTTGATACTTAGTTTCCTTGCTATCTTATATTAGCTCCTACAATCTAATAACGACGTATCCACATCATTACGACCCACGGGCCTTGAGTTATTTGTTAATGACATAAAGACAAGACAATTAGCACTAATATAGAGAACAATTTGTGATGAAGCAATTATGATTCCGCCATCATAAATGACAATTATGATACTGTCCACGTGTAGTGTCATAATTGGATATGTCACTCTATATATATATATATGTACCATCGACAAGTTGTCTTCCCGCATAACTTCACAATAAGTGTTCTAAACGTATTGTGTATCATCATTTACATAAAGTAGTTCTGATTAGCAAACTAGATTGACTCTATCATACAGCTTAAGGAATTAACTGATGTATTCTATCACACTCTCCCGCCAAATGTATTTTCCAGATGTTTGATAAATCGTTGATTATCAATAATCCCTTAGATTGGTATGTCATGGTCAAGCCCACAGGCCTCCTCGCGCGGCGTTCCGTCGGTCAAGCACACGCCATATTGACCAGACTGGTGACCTGAAATACTATTACTCGTACTAAACATGTATATTTCATATAATGGGACTTCAATCATGTGGGGTATCCAATTCCGAGCTTGCCTTGGATGACCCATATTACGGTGTAGCGATTATGGCAGACTTCTGGAGTCTCGATTTGATTGGGATGAAATGGACTACACAGAGTCTAATAAAACATTGATCTCTATTGTTTTTCTACTTTACTATTTTCCTGAGACGTGTGCCAGCCAGAACGTAAATAGACATCCAATATAAACTCGAACCGAAGAAGAAAACCTCTCGCGATCTCGAGGGTTTCTGGCGACAGTAGACCCGATCGCCCTATTCTAAGGTATGTGTGCGTCAGAAACTACATTCCAGAAATAACAAAACCACCTTATGATATTGAAGCAATCTAGTTTGACTTTAAAATGCAATCTATTGTTTTCGCGTGACATCTAGTCTGATTTCAACATTCTCGGCTAACATATGGTATGCCTATAAATGTCTCGTATTCCTTATATTAATTGTTGTGGTGTATGTCGTTATTTAATTGTAAAACGGAAACCCACGTGTAAATACCGTCTTTATTGTAGGTATAGAACACTTGTTATTCAATGACAATAATAAAAATGTCTATATGAGGGAGTCTATGTAATTTACATCAATAAATTAAATAAAATAAACATCATACGGTAAACATTATGGTTATACGTCTTTAACAAGTCTAACAATCAAATACGACTTTGTCTATACAACTAACAGACCAAATGTATAACATTTATGTAAATCATTGGTTTTGATGAAAATTTACATAATAAATGCATCATATTCGAATAAAGAACCCGTAACTAATCGATCTGATCCGTAAAAGGGCAATAAAATATAGCATGTCTATGAGTTTTCACTCCTTTAAGTCATATTTTACGCAAGTTAGGCAAGAACAAGGTCCGCGCTCAAACTTTATCGATTCTCGTTCTAGATGTTGTATCCAAGCAGTTCATTGCGAGACTGTGTAGCTGGAGTCATGTTTGAAACTGTTGAGTTAGATAATACATTTCAACACCTATACTAACCAGATTATGGTGTTTTGTCGAAGTGTTACATCTGTAAATCAAGTTGAAACACAAACCCATGTCCCGTCAGCCTTCAGGCTTGTTTCCGTAACGGCCTCGCTTTGGCCCTATTTATGCGCAAGGCGAGGCGTTACTTGTAGTTTGTTTTGGCACCAAAACGCCCTGGAGATTAAGATGTGTGTGAAGGAATTTATTAACTATTGTCGTCGCTGTCAAATACGCCGCTTTAATTTTGTAATAATTATGACAGATAGTAACACACCAGCAGATGCCAGGTGAAATTGTATTTTATTATCTTGCACGTTCTTCGCAGAATGCTTTTCGAGGTCTGTTTTATTTTAATTATTATGTACATAAACCCAACATGTGCGTTTTCTCAACAAAGTATTCGAAACATTGACAAAAAGATGATATATACAGTTATAATGGAGAGCATAGAGCCAGGACAATGGAAATGCATACAATAAATAAAACTTTTTTTTTCTTTTGCAAATATATTTTTCACTTTATATGTATGAATAATTCTTATCCGTTTTTCTTCACCTGCCTTTGGTAACAAGAATTATGTCTGTTTTCCTTCTTTTTTAGTCGTGGGTATATTTAAAGTAGTTTAAGCTAGATTAATACCACGATACACAGCATGATAAATTACATATAGTATGCCTTTAATGCTTTACAAACACAATGTTATTCAAGACCATAAACTTGAATATAATGGTATTGTGTAGGATTTAAGGTTGAAGCTATACATAAGGTCTGATGTTGCACCTCTTGAGAATGGTTTTGTTTACCAGCTTTTCTCGAACGCCATATAAAATATGTCGTATTTTGTGGATGAATTTGCTGGAAACTTACTGTTAAAGTCACATCAACTCAATATACCAATTAAAAACAATCTTAAAAAAATAATACTATATTTAAATGTCTCTAGTTATTATAGCAAGACCACCAACATATATCCAATGTTATTATGTACCATACGCCATCTTAATTTGTTTTTTAATTGTTGTAATATTATCAGGTTGACAGGAGGAAAAAACTATATCGGCGCTCAATAATGTAACTAAAATCTAATTTAAATATTAATCATACTTGTTAAGTAATTATATGTCGCACTTCAGTAACTAGGCACATAACCAAAAACAATACTAAAATGAAAAACCGGCGTTGCTGCATGTTGTCATCATATTTGTAGTTTTTTGTTATCAGTATGTATGATTGTTGCTGTGTCAGTTTATTTGAACTTATGACGCACCAAGTAATCAGAATATCTCACTATCTTTTCTTGAGTGTCATCGGAATTCATTTTAGTCATAAAAAAGTGTGTATCCTAGCTGAGACTTTACTCCGTCGGAAAACACATGTGTAACTATCAAACAAAGGATTCCAAATTTGGCAACATCTCACGACGTA